TGGAATTTCAAGTGTATTGTTATGAGTGATCAGTTTTCCAGCAAAATACTTTCAGTTCATGATCATAGTGATATAAGCAGCTAGAGTTAGGATATGAGTGCGTATACTGATAATGATGTAATGCGATGATTGATGACTTAATATGAAAATTAAATGTAGAAGCATAAAAACGAGACAAAGGAACTAGGATTGGCAAAGGGTGCATATAACCATTCAAAGATGATCGATGAATAAAGCCAAAGCCAACACAATCGAACACAACAACTGTGCACCATCTGTCCATCGCATGGATAATTTCCAGTAACAGTTCAACAAAAAAATGGCATAAAACTGAATCGCCATCAGCCACTAATGAGTAATTTGAGCTTTTCGTTCTTTTATGTTCCTCTTTTTATCCACTAAAGGAATTGTTGTCGTAAGGCAATTATTACGATTATGCTAACTGATCGAATACAGATATATTATCAACTTCTTGAGATGAAACACGGGATCATATATTTTCTATAACTTTAATCCACATAGCCTTTTGGGCAAATGTAATCTGCCGTTTTGGAACCATAACTAGGGCGAATCTATATCGAATGTTTTTGAGTTCTTCCGACAAACCCAGAAAACTTTATTCAAAGCACTGCGTGGTCTCACAGAAACAATGTAAAAAAGCAATATATAATTAATAATTCATTGAAAAACGAACGCGTATGTCAAAAATCGACTTGGTTGCAGTTTCTTTCTATATTCTGACAGAGAGTGATTGTTTTATGCGTTTCCGACTACTCAAATACTTTAGTTGAAGAAACTTCGCTTTTCTGTCAATCACATTTCAAAGTTAGTGGTTCACTTTGTAATGAATATTTGGATTAGGCGATGTAAAGACGAAATTAGTTGGAGTTTATCACATTAGACATTGGAAATCATTTGATGAAATGAGAATGACTGAACGAAGAAATTCTTCAAACCTGAGATGTATTCCTGAACTAAAATCGCTTTTGAGAAATATCACCATCATCATTTATATTCATAATTAGCAAGGAATCCATCACAATTGCATTTAACGAATCACAAATTTTCCACTATCCTTTACCAACTACAATGACCACTGTCAAACTCAACGACTGAAAACGTCGATTTATCTATCGCCTCTCTAATCAAGATTCTCTTCATCCAGGCTTACAGCGTTCAGTTATCAAGACAATTCCTCTGATCCACCATAATCATAAAACAAAAAGATTACTGATACGGGAAACTTTCTGCTTTCGATGACTCAAGTCAATCATTCAGCACTAAACAGCAGTTGATGAGCGAACTCTAAGTTAGTGACAAAGAAAAGATGACAAGTCTGGAAAAGTGCAAACGAATGAATACACATATTTATGCTTGATTGAATAATAAGGACACAAAACTGTCACCGTTTACATCGACACATAATTTATGATTTTAGAAGGTCATTGCAATCACCGATACCTGATCGCAAATACTCTCACACATCATATAATCTCACATAATTATTATCCATCAAACAGTCGCGCTCATTTATGCAACTAGTGAATACTTTACACATATTGATCAATATTCCTCGGTATAAATTATATGCAATGAGTTTAATGATTAAGATAATCATGGTCTTACGTTCGCACAGTCAACGGATGACCACTGAAGCGAGTCATCAGCTGAGAATATTGCTCGGATATGAAGAAATGAGTTCGTCAACAGCCACACTTATACCTTGAGCAAACATTTAGCGTCACGCAAAATTTATCGCAGTAAACGGGGCGGAATGAGAGGCTGTGCAGTTGCTGGCTTTGCGTAGTGAGTCGCAGCAATTTGCTACTTTGAACACTTTTGCAGACAGCATATAATATGAATGAACATCGAAATGTATATGAATGAAATATTCAGAAAATCAGAAAAAGGAACTTGTAGGAAGCGAAAAATATCGCTTTACGATTTTACAGATAAAACTGGATGAAATTCCTCAACTCAAATGAATTTCAAAGGTGTCCGTAACTCACTGTAATTTCTGAAAACATCTGAAATCAAGTGAATCAAGGACTTTGACAATAACAAGAATCGTTGAAGTCTTATACCCTGTTAAATTCATATGCTGATTAACAAACCTTCTCTGAAATTTATCACAACGTAATAAAGATGCACGTTATACCTCACATTCCCCTACTTTAGTCTCATCTAATACACCTGACAAGTCATCGTCAGATTACCTGATAAGAACGCAGATCTAAAGCCAATTATAAAAAAATCTTTAAACAATTCAAGGCAATGTCTTCATTCATTAATGCCACTGAATCGCACGTGATATGACAGA